AAAAATAAGGCTATGGCGGAAAGAAATGCTATCTCATTCAGGAGCAAACAAAGCCAGAGAGTTTGGGTTTATCTGGTAACTCGCTATCCTTTATGGGCCAGACACAGAATTACTAGGTAGGTAGAGAATCTGTGTTAATTTCAAGACATAGATTCTGTACCTAAATTGTGTTGAATTTCAGATCTTGCATACAGATGAAAAGGAAAAGAATAAAAAAAAAAAAAAAAGCCACAAAGATTTCCAGACCTTGGGTGTTTAAAAGGCCTTCACACAGTAAATCAGCCTACTGCTGTCTTGTTTTCTCTGCAGCCAGACTGAAATAATACAACACCGGCAGAGGTGTGAATTACCCCCATTCATCTTAATGGAGTGTTAACTTCAAAGGCTTGTTTTAACCATTTAAATGCTAAGCTCAAGAGTAAACGTTCTTTTTTTTTTTTTTTTTAAAGTACAATTTAAACATTCAACTTTAACACAGGAAAGTCATTTACAGTCTGGGTACTTTATCTTTTAATTTAGCAAAAAAGTCTCCAAATGTTAGGGAAGCATATATTTTGTGCTTTACTTAGTTTTATTTTAAATAGTTATTACCTAATAAATTATGAACATTAAGTTCATAATGAGAAAGCCCAGATTTCCCAGGAAAAAGGCTGAGGGGTTCTGAACAAGGCCTGGAGGTGACCTCAGTGAAGGGGACACTGCTATCACCAGACATTAGCTTCCTCCATACTCACAGAGAAACTTGTGACTCTCAACAGGTCTTCCGTTAAAGTAAGATAATAATGAACACCTCCACAAATACTTTTTCTTGATATGAACACAGTTTTGTGTAGAATATTTAATAGGTCATTTGTCCCTCTGTCAAATCTCCCATGAATCTATCTCATGAGCAGGTGACAAATGTATTAATTGATGCCCAGCTGTCATCACATTTAACATTTGCCCCAGGGGGCATCCTTGCATCTGTTGCAGATTTAGGGTTATTTTGGTATTACTGGAGTTAGATTTATTTAAGGAGCCAAACACCTATATGTATTTGCACCATAATGTCATAAATAAAAAAGGAATTTAAGTAGTAGCCTGTCAGACTGATGGGCTCTCGCTGACCTGAAGCTCCTCAGCCCATAGGAGGCCTTAGATGTCTGGCTGTGACCCTGGGATCATGCTAAATGTCTAGTTCAGGAAGGCATTCATACGAGAGCACAGCTGAGGCAGAACTGTGGGTAAGTACTACCAAACAGTGCATTTGGGGCCAGTGCCCCTGTGAGTGAAGGCTAGAGACTGTGAAGATAATAGTTGTGCAGATGAAAGGTGAAAAAATTCAAGAGATGTTTCTATGTCCTTAGTTGAAAGCAAATCGATTGTACTGGTCCAGATAAGGGATAAAAGAAAGGGTTTAGCATCATATCTAGTAAGAGAGGCTGTTTTGGTTTACACCTAGTTTATATCAGGCCATTCTCTTACCACAGTACTGTACAATAGGTATTAACGATTTTATAGATGTAAAAGTAGAGGCTTAGAGAGGTTTGCTACGTCTCTTTTACTGAGATTTAAACCCAAATCTTTCTAACCCAAAGGTTCAGTTTTTTTCCCATTACACCATCCTGTACTCAAGTTGCCAAAGTATCCCAAAGAGAGGCATGGTTGTCAATTTTTCAGCTTATTTCCCAAGTGGGAAGCAAGGGAGCACCTGCAAAAGCATGTATTTCCATATATGCAAAATAGCACTTTGCATGCAATTCCCTACTTTACATGTGCACCGGTATAGGGTTACTTTTTTACTGATACACCCTGGCTTTGGTAGGCTGCTAACAATGTGCCCTTTACAGAGGTCTAGCTTCTGGCTTCCAACCAGAAAAAAGCCATGTCAATGGGAAGACTGCAATGCTTTACAACTTCCAAACAAAATATGAGATATGTGATCAGTTTTTGTCTGTTTCTCAAGGAAAATATTACATGGTTTATTGACAAACTGAGAAAGGTCAGAACTTTCAAAAGCACAGTTCACTATCACAATTCTGTCTCATAATGAGCAGATGAGGAAAATCACAAAAGTTGTTATATGAGATTTGGATAGTTTTAGAAAGGCAGGGCAAAATACCAAGTAGAACAGTCTCAGTTTTGTCATTACTCATTGAAGGTTACATTAACCTACAAGATTCAATTTTGTATATTGTATATAAACTTAATACATTGATTTCTTAAAAAAAAGACTGATGCAATATATTTAAGAACATTAAAAATTTCTGCTCTCAGGAAGACACTGTTAAGAAAAAAAAAAGAAAAGCCACAGAAAAAGAGAAAATTCTCTGTAAAACATATATCTCAAAGAACAGTTATCTAAAATACACAAAGAATGCTTAAAACTCCTCAATGAGAAAACAAACAAAAAGATAGGCAAAAGAGTTGTAGACACTTCACAAAAGAAAATATATAGCTGTAAAGTAGCATGTGAAAAGATGCTCAGCATCATGTCATTAGGGAATTACAAATTAAAACAAGGTATCACTACACTCCCATTAGAATGGCGAAAAGCCAAAACACTGACAACACCAAATGCTGACAAGGATCTGGGACAACAGGAATCTATGTACAATGTTACAACCACTTTGGAAGGTAGTCTGCAGTTTCTCATGAAGGTAAATACACTCTTT